TGTAAATATTAAACCAAAATATCGTTTTTGGGATCAAATTCATGAGAGATGTACCCAATTATAGGCAATATATAATTTTCCTGTTACTATAGTAATAGTGATATCGTTATTCATTGAATCCAATATAAAGTATTTTCGCTTCAATTTCTCTATCCACTGCTTTTATATACAAACCATTGTTAAATACACAACAATTTATGAATACATGACTGGATATTAAACAAAATTTATAAAATAACAAGATTTTTAATTAGAAAATAATAAATAAACTGACGTGAAGTTATTAAACAAAATATATCCAAATAAATATTAGAAATAATATTTTAAACATGTACTCATTATTAAATGTTTACATCAATAATTGTACAACAATTATAAATATTTGTTTATAAATAAATGTATAATATTTTCAGATTTAGTTACAACTCATAAGAAAGAACAGACAGAGTCTCAAATCCTAGCCAAACATTTTTGTGTGTTTTTATGTGTAAAGTAATTTTCACGCATTTTTATAAACAAATTCATAGAAAATCTCGTCTGAGAAGAAGGGATAATATGCCGATCGATATCTATTCAATCAGTTTTAGCCCTCTGTGTCGGTCCTCCTGACAGTCAAACATTTGAATATTTATTTTAATGTTATTATTACTGATGTAAATGTTAATCAAAATTAGATAAATGATTAGATGATGATCAATTTTAATATAATATTTATAAACAATTTCTATCTTTCAAATTGTTATTTGCAAATAATAAACGCCAGTCCTTTAGTAAGTTGTCTTATTTTTTAATTACGGTAACTGTATAAATTTTAAGTGCAAATTGCTTGTACATTAGATTTTTGATAAATGGCAACAGTTATAATAATTGTATATTACGTAATGCAATTGTAATTTCTACTTATAATTCATTTTTATTATTAATAATAAGCTATACTATACTGTACTGCATAATCCATAAAAAACATTCTAATTCTAAGTAAAATAATATTCTGTTAAAATAAATGCAACTGTATTTTTGTAATAATGATGGTAAATATTTTTTGTTTGTGATTATTATTGATTAAATGTAATTTCTACTATTGTTTATAACGACAAATAAGACATAAGTAAGTATGAAATATATGATTAAATATTTGTTACGCTAGCAAACAAAACTTATTTTCATTATCAGTGAAATCCTTGAATATCATAAAATAGAATTTCAATGGGAATATGACATGAGCTCAAAAAACTAACTTAAACCTTAAAAATAGATATATAAATTAAATATTAATCAAAATTTATTATATTAGTTATTTCCAATAACTTAATATGATTTAGATTAATTAAAGTTAAATTTTTCGAGCTGATGTCTTTTGAACTCGTGTCTTTTGTAACTGGTTTGTAAGCTCGTGTCGTTCGAGCTCAAGTCTTTCGAGATAATGTCTACTTCCCATTTCAATTGATGTGTTATAAATGTAAAGTATAATACTGTAATATAATACTTTATAATACTGTATAAAAGTCAGTGTTTTTATTTTTAATTGCCATAGCGTTGCATTAGGGTTATACAGACAGTTGTTGAGCTCCATATTCCAGCTAAATATTGATCACAATTTCTATTGTAAAGTAATTTTAACAAATTTTGAGAAATAAATTCATAGAAAATCTCGTCTGAGAAGAAGGGATAATATGCCGATCGATATCTATTCAATCCGTTATAGCCCTCCGTGTCGGGCCGTTCTCATGACAGCTAAGCATTTGAATATTGATTTAAATGTTATTACTGTTAATTTGAGTGAAGGCCAGAATCTGAAAGAAGATTACTTGAAGGTATTGTATATCGAAATTTAAAATTTTTATTCAAAACATTTATAATTGAATTAATGAACATGTTCATTCAGATCAACCCAACCCATCAAATTCCAGCGATTAATGATAACGGGTTTATATTGTGGGAAAGTCGAGCCATTATGCAGTATTTATGTAACCAGACGTCACCCGACAGTCAACTCTACCCTAAAGACCCTAAACAGAGAGCAATTGTCGACCGATGGCTTAATTATGATCTCTCGCTCTTCGGTGTTATGAAGGAGAATGTCGTATGAATTGAAACTGTCTTTTAGTTTACAAAATATATATTTTACTCAATTTCAATGAATATTTAAATCTATAGGCAATTCCCAAATTCATAGGCATTGAACCCACAGAACAAGCAGTGAAGACAATTATTGACACATTGAAACTCTTGGATCAATTGATTGGAAGCAATAAATATTTGGCTGGAAATGGATTAACAATTGCCGACCTGTCTGTGTTGGCCACCACTTATACATTAATTATATTTGGTATGGATTTGTCTCCGTATCCAAACCTAAATACTTGGATAACAAAACTGTCGGAAGAGTTGCCGTATTTCGACGAATTCAACACATTTTCAAAGGAAGACGTCGACCACTTTGTCAACAAAATGAGGGCTTTTGTCCACAAGAAAATGGGCAAAAATGGGGAAGTGTAATTATTTGGTGTAACTGCAAATTTATTGTACCACTAATAAAATTGTTTATTGTCTTATTACATAACAAGTACTGTAAATGTACATGCTTATTTTATTCTGCATTATAATAAAGTTTGAATAAATATTGTGTAATTTATTTATATGTGGTAATTATTTCTGAGTACTGTATGTTAAGAACTTATTGAAGGCAATCAGAGGTAATCTTATTCAGCAAAAAGTTATTTGTGAATAATGTAAAACTTAATTTTAATAAAGTGCACGTCATTGGTGTCAATAATTTACAAATTAATAGCTAATAACATAATCAACATATTGTGAATTATAAATCAAACAAACTCTTAAATATTGGGCAATAATTGATTTAAAATCATTATCTATTAAGTAACATATAACTGGCTTTTGTTGTATAATAGTTAGTCGCCTATTAATGATGGATGTTTATTAATATAATTATAAGACTTATAAGTTTATTAATAATAAGACAACTTTCATCAATTAATAGTACATTAATATATTTTTAATGATATTTATAATACTACTGTAATCGCCAAGATATCATTTAATATCAAAACTGTGTATTGTATGCTCAAAATACTCAGCAAACTGTGAGCTCAGAGTACACTAATTGTACGTAAATTAAAAACAATCAGTCCTTGAAATACTTGCCAATAAAAAGTCTTCAAACTTACAAATGCTAACCATAGCTGTTATCATTGCATTCGCATAACTATTGACAATTGTGTTGGGTTTTGAATAACATTTGCATTTCAGCCAAAATGACAATTGAATTATTCTATTGGCCTTTCAGTCCTCCGGCGAGAGCCGTATTAATGCTGACCAAAGAGTTAAAACTTGATATAAAGGAACAGTTGACTGATTTGGCTGCCGGACAACATTATGAGCCCGATTTCTTAAACGTAAGTATCATTTTGAATTAAAACACAAACAAACAAGTTAATTATTTGTGTAAAATACTATAATTTACCATATACTAAATGTATTTTAAAAAATACAAACAGCTGAATCCATGTCATACGGTGCCCACAATGAATGACAACGGGTTTATACTATGGGAAAGTCGAGCCATTATGCAGTATCTGTGCGATAAGTACGCGCCCGACAGTCAACTCTACCCGAAAGACCTAAAACAGAGGGCTTTAGTGGACCGTTGGTTATACACCGACGCCACCGGTTTCCTATTTATAAGAGACATTACGGTAAAAATAACTTAAACATATTCTTGTATAAAACAATCAATTAATTGATACTTTGTTTGCGGAAAAGTTTTTCTCTCAATTGCTTCCAGTTGTGACCAATTGGACAAAATTTGCATTCAATAATCACTTACAAGTGTTGAATAAAATGATTGGCGATAATCAATATTTGGTCGGCGATCACCTCACTATTGCAGACCTGTCTGTCTTGGCTTCCCTAACCTTCCTCTTCTACTTTGATTACGATTTGACTGATTATCCAAATATTAAGCGCTGGTATTCATCGTTGGCTAAAGAATTGCCATATTTTGATGATATAAATACATTCAGTAGTGAAGAGTTGGATGATATTGTCTCCAAAATGAAGGTCTTATTTCAAAAAAATATTGGTTAAAACATTCATTTGACATAACTTTACACATGTATAAACATTATACACAAAATCTTATTAAAAATTTAATTAACTGTTTTACGATGATACAATAAAGTTTATAATTATCCCAAATAATGTATTCACATTAAAGTAAATGAAGCGACTGTTGAGTTAACAATAGAAATTTAGAGCCATTATGCAATACCTGTGCTATTATTATGTATTTAAAGCATTGGTATTGCATAAGAGCCCAAAGTTTCTAAAGAATTGCTTTTGAATTAAATTATACAATATATGGTCACATATTCTTAATTAAACTAGTTTGTTAGCATTGTTTATAACAATTTAGAGGATCATTGGTTAAACAAACTTTTTTTATTTGACAAACAATTTCATAGAAATAATTTTTATTTATAAAAGTAGCGATATTTAAAGGAAAAAATTTGAGATCATGTGAATTCCAGTTCACTATTATTTCTACTGATGGGCAAAACTTTGGCACATATTGTGATAAAAAGCCATATTTTGTTAGCAAACTATCACTGTTTCATCTCGTGATCCGCGAAGATATTAATTGTAATGTATTTATAGATGGAAATATAACTTTCTGTGAAGGTAATGTAAAGTGCATTTTCAGGACATTTACCAATCCAACACTAACTTTGCTAAAAATGTACTTTTCATTTAATATAAAAAATTTTATAAACTATATATTGGAAAATCAAGTACTAAATACAAGTAGTTTAAACAATATTGGCCAAAATTTGAATTAAATTAACTATATTTATATTGTAATAATTAAACAGTCGATATTTGATATTGTAGTTTTATAATTTCTAAAAAATAGTATCAATATGTTTTTGTAATTTTAATACTATTGCATAACATTAACTCATTTAAGTGCGAATAAAGTACAAAAAAGAGTACAGTATATGAATTGCATTGAATTCACAATTTTGATATCTGAGAGTATATTTCAATAATTATCACTAAAAGCGATAATTGTTATGATATTTAATATTTTAAGTATACTATAGACATGTTTTATTAACACTGTATAGCATTACAAATGTAATAATAATTATAGTTAAAATAATACATTTTTAAATAACATTTTTAAACATGAATTAAATATTTTAACATTTAAAATTGTTAAATTTTTATAAATAACATATTTAAAAATTTATAAATTTTTAAAAAATATATGATATTATATAATTTCTTAAACGTAAATATAGTTTTTAATTAGACAAACACTTGAAGTAAACAAATGAACGAACTATTTATGAGATTACAGTTTATCGATATTAAGGGGACTAAACTTAATGCAAGTATTCATTGAATACTATTCTCTATTTTAAACATAAAGAAAAAAGTTTTTTCTTTTGTCGATTAAGTACTGAATTGAGAGAAAATTGAATACAATTTAAATTAAAATGAATTCAAAAGTAAGAGAAGAGGAGACGGCCTTCAAATGGCGGGGATTTCATGACTCATGAGATAATAATGCCGTAAATGAATGGGAAGTCAACGATAATTAGGCGAAGGAATAAAACAATTATTATATATTTGTCCTTCAAATGGATGTTCCAGAGAACGGACTCATCATCTCATGGGATGGTAAAAATACAATCATCAACAGTATTGTGCGTTTTATATATTTGTTTTAGTTTATTGTTAATAAAATTAAATTATAACTATTAATTTATTAATATTTAATATAGTTTATAATAATTACATTTAAATAAAGATAACAATAAATTAAAAATTCAATACTTCGTTATTATATATCTCGCACGTATAGAATAGGACAGAATAATTGACTTATTTTTCCAACCCATACTCATCTCAAAATTCATGCAATAAAACACATCAAATATAATGTACTCTATTATTTGCAAACAGAGATAAACTCCTATTTAAACAGTTGTTACGCAAACAACTCAACACTTTTGTGAAATTTTGTATTTAACACAATTTGTTTGTAAAAATCTGCACAATTGAAATGCCGGTTGACATCTATTCCATGCGTTTGTCGCCTCCGTGTCGGGCAGTGCTGATGGCGGGACGGGAACTGAACATTGATTTAAATGTTAAGACCGTAGACTTGGCTACTGATCAACACATGACTCCGGAATACCTAAAGGTATCAATAAGTTATTGACAATAACTATTAGTATTTTCATATTACTATTATTATACATAAATAATAAACTAATACTAAATGAACACCTAGATGAATCCAACGCATACGGTGCCCACCATTGATGATGATGGATTTATACTATGGGAGAGCCGGGCAATTATGCAATACCTGTGCAACCAATACGCGCCCGACAGCACTCTATACCCGCCGGAGCCCAAGAAGAGGGCACTCGTCGACCGTTGGCTTAACTTTGATATGACTTTAAATCAGACACAACGCGAGGCTCTGGTAATTGATTGATACGATTGAATAGATCGGAGATATTTTAATATACTGTATAACAAGAAAACTAATTTGAATGCATTTTTCCTATCAATAAGTTTCCGAAAATGTTTATGGGAGTGGAAGCGCCCGAAGACAAAGTGAATGCGTTTAAAAACAATCTGAAACTAATGGATACACAGGTGGGCGGCGACGGCAAGTATTTGGTCGGCGATAGCCTAACCATCGCTGACCTGTCAGTGTTGGCCACCACTGTATTCCTCAACAAATTGCAATATTTGAAAGATTACCCAAACATTGAGCGATGGTTCACAACATTGAGCTCACAATTGCCTTATTTCGAGGAAATCAATGGTTTCGATATGAAGACAGACGTCGAGGAATATGTCGCTAAAATTAAGGCCAAACGCGCGGCACAACAGTAATCCCTATTGTCTTTAGCATTGGGATTAACATATCTGGATTATGATATGCTTATATACAATTATAATATAACCATTATTACTTTTATAATTATAATTTATAACTGATATAATTAATACTTTACTTTAATCAATAACATGTTATTATAATTACACTCTTTTTATATTTATACAAAACATAATTATGAATCATTCTTATATTAACTGATAAATTAACTAATAAAATGAGCTCAATTTGTAAGTCATTATTGCATTTAATTTATTATTATGTTTGTGTGTAAAATAATGATGGACTTTGAATTGATGGGATTATAATTGAAAAAGTTTTACAAGTTGAAAATGTTGAGAATTTTTCAATTATAAGTGATTGAAAAAAGTTTTAACTTCTTATATACCCTATTCCGATAAAATAAGCTTAAATCCCAGTATCTGTTCATAAAATAAAATTATTATAAAATAACAGTTTTTTGTGCATAAAGTGATGAATGAATTCAATTAAATTCAATGTTAGATATATATGGCTCTGAAACCGAAAAATATGGTGTGAATAACAAACATAGCGTTTATACACGATATGAGACATTCACTGGTTGTAAATACAGTTAAGTTAAATAAATAAAACTTTTACAAATGGCCTTCACATGAGTTACTTTACTCGTAGTTACGATCAACGGATAGACTAAACATTTTAATTTCATCACAAAAATCACTTTAAAATAACTCCATATTATTGTCACTTTTCGAGGAATAACAGAGAGAAATGCCAATTGATTTATATTACAGTCGGTTTAGCGGTCCGTCCCGTGCCGTACATATGACGGCCCGACAGCTCAACATTGATGTCAACGTTAAATATATGGATTTGAGTGAAGGCGAGCACATGAAACCAGACTTTATTAAGGTATGCGTTGAGTTTTATGATGTTTTTAATGTTTACTAATATTAATCTATTTGTTATAAGATAAATCCTGTCCATACGGTTCCCACTATCGTTGACAATGGCTTTATATTATGGGAGAGCAGAGCTATAATGCAATATCTATGCAACCGATACGCGCCCGACAGCACTCTCTACCCGAAAGAACCCAAAAAGATGGCACTCGTCGATCGATCCCTTAATTATGATATGAATTTGTCCACCACTTTGGGCGATGTTTTTGTAATAATAATGCATTTATTATAAATGTTTATAAAATATTAATTGACTTATAAATTAAAAATAGTTTACAAAAGTGTTCGTTGGGGTCGAGCCGTTGGAAGAGAAAGTGAAAGCATTTAAAGACATATTAAAAGTATTGGACGAAACAATTGGTGACAACAAGTACTTAACGGGTAATGAGCTGACCATTGCTGACCTCTCACTACTCGCCGGCACTATATATATAGAATGGGCTGAATATGACTTAAAAGAGTTCCCAAACTATAACCGCTGGTACTCTAACCTGAAGACAGAGTTACCATATTTTGCTGAAATCAATGTCTTTGCCGACGAAGAGAAGAAGCAAATGGTTGACAAAGTGAGGGCCAGATTAGCCGCAGATACTAAACATTAATCCGCTTTTGTCATATTATATAACATTTGTAAAATGTATAAGTTGTATACAGTACAACTGGATCACTTTTAATGTGAAACTAATAATCAAACTTAAATTATGCGATTACCTTATTTTAATTTATAATTTTTGTTACTTCAAAACATGATGACTGTCTTTAACTGAATAAATAATTCGATAATATGTATGTCATATAAAGTGATGTCATTTCAATCTAATTCATAGTTTGTCAACTTATCTCTTGAAGCCGTTTATCAGTAAAATAATCCAAAGGTTTTTGTTTTCAATGAGAATTATTCACGAAACCCATGTAAAAATAGAGATTACTATACAAAAGTAGTGTATCAGTAAATATGGCCATTGATTTGTATGGCAGCAAATTCAGTGTCCCGTCCCGTGCGGTACACATGACTGCAAGACATCTCGATATAGACGTTAACTTTATTCATATCGATTTGACGGTTAAACAACAAATGGAGCCCTTTTTCATCAAAGTAACTAATAGTTGTCTCTATTTTATTTAAATATTGATTTAATTGATATATTTTCAGTTAAACCCTAACCATACGATTCCCACAATCAATGACAATGGCTTTGTCTTATTGGAGAGCAGAGCAATCATGCAATACCTGTGCAACCGATACGCGCCCGACAGCACTCTCTACCCGAAAGAGCCCAAACAGAGGGCACTCGTCGACCGTTTCCTAAACTTTGACTTTGGTTTTAGTTTATCTCAAAAACAAGTTTTAGTAATCAATTGTTAATCAAAATTTAAACAATAATTTATAATATCTATAAATAATAACATTATTATTGTATTAAATAAAAAGGGATCTAAACTATTCAAAGGTGTGGACGCATCCGATGACAAAGTGAAGGCTTATGAAAACAATCTGAAAATTGTTGACCAATTGATCGGTGATAATAAATACGTGACGGGAAATAAGTTGACAATCGGAGACCTCTCACTACTGGCGTCGGGAGTGTTCATAGAGTGGTCGCAATACGACACAACTCTTTACCCCAATTATCAGCGCTGGTACTCATCATTGAAGACTCAATTATCCTATTTTCACGATATCAACGGTGTGTCCAAAGATGAGCTTGATCAGTTTATAAGTAAATTTAAGAGTCGACCCACTCAGACAACAAAATAATTAATATCAGTGCATTAAATAATTTTATACTATAGATATAGTTAATTATTTCTATATTTATCATCTAAATTTATTTTAATATCGTAATAAAATGCAATTAATTTTGATAAATGGCATTATGTTTTCTATCTTAAAATTTAATAAAATATAATTATAATTAATACATTTATAAGAATATTAATTTTTCTATTCAAAAAAAATCATTAATACTGTATATTTACGGGATATATAAATTATCGATAAGAATATTAATAAATTAATTACAATTCACATTTAAAAACAAAATTAATGAAATAATTTATATTATATTTCAAAATATTTCAAAACATAATGAAATAATGTAAATATTGGTGAGTTTATAAAAATATTCTAACAAATAGAGTGACTCTCACTATTGGGAACATTATTTTATGAAAAATCTAGATTCATCGAAAGTTTAGTGTATTTGCACTAAACATTTGCACTAAAATAATAGTGCAAAAGGAGCGTTAGTTATATAGCATAACAGAATATCGCATAGAAAACAATTCTATTATAAATGCTATGCATTGTGTAGAAAGGTTTACACCGGTTGTGAAACGGCCTTCAATTCTTACACACATATTACATATAAAGCTATATAAAGACAGCATTCGTTCATTTGCTTTCATTCGTGAAAAGTCTTGTTTTAAACCATTTTTGAGCGGAATATCAGTAATTCAAAGCAAAAATGCCGATTGATATTTATTATAGCCGTATGAGTGGGCCCTCCCGAGCCGTACTCATGACAGCCCGTCATCTCAACCTCGACGCTAACCTCAAGCACATGGATCTGAGTGAAGGCGATCAACTCAAACCTGAGTTTCTCAAAGTATGAGCATTTTATTTGGACAATAAAATCATATTTTTTACTAATATAACTTGTATTGTTTAACGCGAATATAGATCAACCCTGCTCATACTGTGCCCAGCATTGATGACAATGGATTTGGACTGTGGGAGAGTCGAGCCATTATGCAATATCTGGTCAATCAATACGCGCCCGACTCTACTCTTTACCCGAAAGACCCTAAAAAGCGAGCCCTTGTCGACCGATCCCTCGACTTTGACCAGACCTTAACCAATCATATCGGAGAAGTTTTGGTAATTATATTAATACTTATTTAATTAGTGATTATATTAATTAATAATTTTATTCAATAGTTTTCAAAGACCATGACTGGAGTGGATCCGCCTCAAGACAAAGTGGATAAATTGACGACTAATCTAAAACTATTGGATCAACTGATTGGTGACAAACAATACCTGACTGGAGAGCACCTGACAATTGCGGACCTGTCACTGTTGGCGGTCACCACTTATACCGAGTGGAGTCAATTTGATTTGAGTGATTATCCCAATTATAAGCGATGGTATAATACACTGAAGAATGAATTGCCGTATTTCCAAGACATCAATGGTATCCCCAAAGAGGACATCGAGGCTATGATCGAGAAGTATAAGGCATTGATTTGAGTGATTATCCCAATTATAAGCGATGGTATAATACACTGAAGAATGAATTGCCGTATTTCCAAGACATCAATGGTATCCCCAAAGAGGACATCGAGGCTATGATCGAGAAGTATAAGGCAAGGGCCGCCGCAGCCGCTGCTGCTAAAAAATAATTGGTGTAATTGTTTACCATATTTATATTATAAATTATACCATAATACTTTTAATTATTACATTAAGATATATATTATTAGTAATAATTTATTACGAATATAACTTTTAATCCCGATAAATAACTAATAAATGTGTTTTTACACCCAAGTTGAATTATAATTTATATGTCATAATATGCTTCTTATTTATTAAATAAACTATGTTTAACGTCGATATCTAATGTTTTTTATTTCAAACAACGTTTTGTAAAAATTTTATATAACTTATTGTCCCAACACTAATATACAAAATACAGATTGTAAAACGACCTTTAATTTCTATAGATATGTAACGCCATATAAACTTTTCATTCGTTCAATAGTTTTCATTTAGTAAAAGTCTTGTTTCAAACTATTTTTGAGCCAAATATTACTAAATCCAAACAAAAATGCCGATCGATGTCTACTATAGCCGTATGAGTGGTCCCTCCAGAGCCGTATTGATGACTGTCCGTCAATTGAACCTCGATGTCAATCTCAAACGCATGCATATAAATACCGGCGATCATTTGAAACCTGAGTATATCAAGGTGAAATACCTATTTTGACAAATTAATTGTCGGTTGTGAATGAATTTATTGTTTATCACACATAGATGAACCCTGCTCATAAAATTCCGACCATCAATGATAACGGGTTTGCACTTTGGGAGAGTCGAGCTATAATGCAATATCTGGTCAATCAATACGCGCCCGACTCTACTCTTTACCCGAAAGACCCTAAAACGCGAGCCCTTGTCGACCGATCCCTCGATTTTGAACAGAGTTTGTCCGACATTTTCTACGATATTTTTGTAAATAAACTATAAATTAATTTAATTTTAAAGCATATATAGATTATAATTAATAATATTTATACAAATAATTTATGCTAAAAGACGGCTAATAATGTAATGTCGGACGAGAAAGTGGAAAAGTTAAAAACTAAATTAAAACTATTGGATCAACTAATTGGTGACAAGCGTTACTTGACTGGAGAGCACCTGACGATTGCCGATCTGTCACTATTGGCGGCCACCAGTTATCCCGATTGGAATGACTTTGATTTGAGTGATTATCCCAATTATAAGCGATGGTATAACACATTGAAGAATGAATTGCCGTATTATCAGGAAATCAATGATTTGAAAGAGGAGTGGAAAACTGCAATCGCCAATTACAAGGCTAAAGCCACCCATTAATGATGGCCCATCACTAATCATTAGAGCTAGGACTTGATGAGTCATTTAATATTCAGACTCATAAAAATAGTGAATCAGTCAAAGGGTAGCAAAAAAATCCTGTATTCAGTTTATGTTATAAATCTATAAAATAGTTGCGATAATCATTAGTGTATTTTTTTAAATGTATATTAGAGACAAAACTGCACTAAAGTTGCACTAAAGTCCTAGCCATACTAATCATTTATATCTAGCATATTTATGTTTTAAACTATTAACATAATACTTTTAATTGTCCCCTATTAATATATTTATTTCTCTATTTATATTTGCAAATATGTATACCTTCTAGTTACAAGTATCTCGAGTCTATTTTAATGATGTAAATTTATTTTTTAATAAAAATAGATTTTTAAAATATATTTCCAATAAGGTTTTACAGACAATTTATTAAATTGAATTTTGATATTATTAATAATGATCACAAATTAAATTACATGTAAAATAGGCACTCAATAAATTACTATATAAATAAATAAAATAACCAAAGACTATAAATTAGTCTAAATAATTTGATCAAGACAACACTTTCTATGCATACAAATATTAAAACTTTAATTTATCTTAAAATTTAGCAAATGTTTAATTGTTATTCCGTTTTCAAAAAAGTTACATAACTAGAAATGCATACAATACATTATTTAATAGCATTTGCCATTCACCTACAGTATTTCTATATCTCATAGCCTAAAAATAATAGTTTATCATAAGAATAGCAAGTCCATTTGTATTTGTTGGACTCTCCCAATTTGAATTTGCATTCTCTATGATAAATGTTGTGAATATACTGTCATATAAAGTGATATTCCTCTAAAACAAGTGTAATTGCTTACAGTATGTCATATTTTGCACTAAAACTAATACAATCTACAGTATATAAATAAAAAGACCTTGAAAATTTTACTTTATTTCCATAGTAATGATAACCTGTTATATAAACGCATGTTTGCATTCATTGATACTTCACTACTGAATTCCTAACAATTTATGTTTAGTTTTTGACTAAAAAGTGAAATATTTGTCAACAAATTGATTGGAAATGTCTGTCGATATCTATTCCTTCAAATACAGTCCATTCTGTCGGACAGTTCTGATGACAGCCCGGGAACTGAACATTGATTTGAATGTCATCGAAACGGATCCCGGAGCCGACCAAACACTGACACCAGAGTATATTAAGGTATAGTAGTATTTAAACGATTTTAGATTTTGCTTTTATAATGGATTTTATATACTGTATCATTGAAAATCACTTGCAAAATATTTATTTTAATATTAAAAAATAATTTTCAGTTTTATCTATGAAAATTAATAATTTGTTTATAAAGTGGTGTAAAAATTAAAAAATAATTATATAACATTATATAATTATTTATGTTAATATAAAGTTATAATAGTTGAATATAACAAACTTCAAGGATTCTACTGAAGTTGACATCATATTTTTAAAATACACTTTTTATTACTTTCTATTTATAAAATTATACATATTTTAACATAAATACCATTTGTATGACAGATGAATCCGGTCCACAGCCTCCCGACCCTTAACGACAATGGATTCATACTATGGGAGAGCAGAGCTATAATGCAATACCTGTGCAACCGATACGCGCCCGACAGCACTCTCTACCCGAAAGAGCCCAAAAAGCGGGCTCTCGTCGATCGTTGGCTTAATTTCGATATGAGTTTTGTCGAGTCCGGCAAATACGGAATCGTATGTCTTGTTCTCATAGCAGTTATCATTGTTATAAAGTCTTATAAAATGATATATTATGGACACAAAACCAGATGATGAAAGCGTTTGGTGGCGTCGATCCACCAGAAGAGAAGGTAATTGCATACAAGAATCTTCTGAAACAATTGGATCAACTGATTGGTGACAATAAGTATCTGGTGGGCGATCATCTGACGATCGCCGATATCGCTGTGTTGGTCACGAGCTCTATATTACTGATGGTTAACTACGATCTGACCGATTATCCAAACCTCGGCCGATGGCTGCGAACACTGACCACTGAATTGCCATATTTTGCTGAAATCAATATCTTTCCCAAAGAAGATATGGATAAATGGGTGGCAAGAAGTGGACACTATTTGAAGAGAAAAATGCTTTAATTTAAGCAAACAATAATACAAAGTCAATACAATTATATTGTATTTTGGGACTTTTATTAATATGTGTTAATCAATCATTAGTAATGATTCATTACTTAATTAATTAATAATTAACTATTTATAATGATAATTTTACGAACATTTTAAAGACATATTATACATTCTTTTTAATAAATTGTGTATTTTTGTAAAGATTTAATTTATTTTCCTTTGTTTTACTAATTTGCTTCTTAATTATTTTCAGATTAATTTCTCTCTCTCTCTCTCTCTCTCTTTCTCTCTCTCTCTCTCT